AGGATTACTAGCTGCCATCAGAAGCTAGGCAAGAGCCATGGAACAGATTCTCCCTCTCAGCCACCAAGAAAGAACCAACCCTGCTGACACCTTGACTTGGACTTAGGGACTCCAGAACTGTGAGAGAAGATATTTCTGTTGTTTTAGGTCATCTAGTTTGTGGTTCTTTGTTACCTCCACCCTAGAAAACTAACACACCATCATACTCCTACTTGGCTTTTTGTCAATTTTCTTTGTTCTTAAATTTTTTTCTTGGCATTTTCTCTCCAGCATAGCAGCTGTGGATTGGGAAAGGAGAGGTTTGAAGTCCAAAAGAGTTTGAGCCCTGACAGCCAATTTTTAACTCTTTGAATTTAGGCAAGTTACTCAGATATTCTGAGTCCCAATTTTCTCAATTATAAAATGAGGATAGAAACTTTCATTCATTCATTCATCAATTCATCCATTCCTTTGACAAGTACTGATTGAACAGTAACTGTGTGCCAGGCACTGTGCAGGGCACACAGATAGATATTAAGTAGGCAGCTATAAAACCCTGCAAAGGAAAAGCAGATGCTAAGAGAGAGCATAACCTGACCACGAAAGCTACTCTTGGAGGTGGTAGTGAGAAATAAATAAGAATGTGAATGCACTTTATAATCTGGACCTCAAAATACAAACAAATGTATTATTATAAATAGAATGAGATGGATTAATAAGAGTAAATGTTCCCTCTAGTCAAAATGATAATTATTAGGTTAAAAAAATAGATTTTTGGTGGAGTTGCAGGAGACTGGCAGGAGAAACTGTTGGAAGATCATAAAAGGGAATAGAAAGATAAGAGGGGTTTGTGAATTTATTCATGAGTATTCAACAAAGTAAACCTGGTCATGCTCCTCACATAGTTTAGTGAAAGCCCACATATCATGTATTGTAATTAAGTGAGATTGTTAATAATTCTTCTTTTTTTCCCCTCCAAAAGTAGATAAATGGATGTTTATGTTGAATCTTTAAGTGATACATATAGGAAAAAATGTTAGAATATCAATAACAGGAAGGCAAAGTACCTATTGGTGTTACATTGGCAAAATATGTACTAAAACAGAAGAGACTGAATTATATCAGATATCTCTGGAGTCATGCAGACTTCATGGCTTGAAAGTTCAAGTCACTGATACCTGCATGTTGAAGGTGTAAAATACCTTCCTCAGTAAATCTGTCAGGGCTCATCATCTGATTTCTATGGAAACCAATATGCCATTTGAAAGACCCCTTCCTTGGCATTCAGCAGACTTAACTCTCCCATTCCCATAAAGTGAGCAGCCAATAGTTTCTCACGCAAGAACAAGTACTGTCCTATTAAAACTTTATGAAGTGGCATGGAGTCTTCGATGCAGTTACTCCACATTAAAATTCCCAGCACAGAGATTTACCCTCTACATGAAGACTATGCTGGATTGCAGAAAGAGTCAAAGAGATGGGGCTCTGGGTTCACTGAACAGCTGGATCTACTGCCCAACTCTCGTACTTTACAGTTTCACGGGTCCATAACTTACCCCTCACTTTTTTCCCCCAAAGTAAAAAACAATTGACCCAAGAATAAATACTGAAATAATGACAATGTGTGTTTGTGTAAATAAATACACAAAAGCATATATTTCTCCCTATTGCAAAAATGTTTGGGGGCTACTTTTAAAAATAGTGTTTATAATGAAAGACAGATATCCCTGGCTGGTGCGGCTCAGCTGGCTGAGCATCATCTTATTGCACCAAAAGGTGGCCCGGGTTTGATTCCAGGTAAGGCACATACCTAGGTTTCAGGTTTGATCCCTGGCCAGGGTTGGTACATGAGGCAACCAATCAGTGTTTCTCTATCACATCAATGTTTCTCTCTCTCTCTCCCTCTTCTTTCTTCTCTTTCTAAAATCAATAAAAAACCTTTCTTAAAAAGACAGACATTCTGCTAACACAGGACTTATATTAAGTCTTACATTACAGGTTTTATTAAGTATATTAAGTTTTTAATATCACATATTAAGGTTTTAATGTCACAATTAACATTTTTTCATGGTAGGAATTTTATTTTTAAAAAACCAGTTCAAATTGGATTTCTTTCATCTATTCAAGATTCAGAGAAAAGTATTCATCACTCAAAACCTTGCCAGCAATAATTTCAAATAAACTACCTAATCAGCAAGAGGAAAATTGTTTCATGGACTCCAAGGAAATTCTGGCCAACAAGCCAGAATTTAATGAGCATCAAGAAATTGTGAGGAAATACAGTGGCATTATAGTAGTTGAATTATAATTATATCTACCAAGAACCATCTCAGTTATACTCATTAATTACCCTAAAATCACCCATACTTCCAAAGCTTTCTGCCATAATATCCTGATCTCTAGTGCCTTGTGTTTAACACTCCATGGCCGTTGTCAGAGGGTTGACTCCAGCTAAAACTAGAGTGGGTTCACGTGGTTTGAATATGATTGAACATTAAGAGAATTTGAGAGCTACTATATTTTACTCAGAGATGGTGAACGTATGTAAGAGAATAATGATATTTAGAGAAATCACAAGGAATCACAACAGGATCTAGGAGAAACCAGACACACATGTATGCTCGTATACACACACAAACACACATGCAGTTGAAAAGAGATGTAAATATGACATCTGATTATTTCTTTCAAACACCTAACTTCAATTATAAAATGTTAGTGCTGAAAAAGGCATCAGAGATCACCTACCTCATTTTTCTCATTCTACAGTAATCTTGGTCATTTCGGGCTGATGTGATAAACTACCATAGACTGGGTAGTTGCTTAAACAACAAATATTTCTTTCTTTCTTTCTTTTTCTTTTTTTTTAAAATATATCTTTATTGATTTCAGAGAGAGGAAGGGAGAGAGAGAAACATCAATGATGAGAGTCATTAATTGGCTGCCTCCTGCACGCCCCCTGCTGGGGATCGAGCCCACAACCCGGGCATGTGCCCGGCTGGGAATCGAACCTCCAATGCCTGGATCCTAGGTCGATGTTCAACTGCTGAGCCACGCCAGCTTGGCAAACAGCAAACATTTCTCACAGTCATGGTGGCTGGGAAGTCCAAGATGAAGGTTGGCCAGCAGACTCAGCTCCGGGGAGAGCGTGCTCCTTTGGTTTTCAGCCTGCGCCCTTCTCACTGAGCCCTCACGTGACAGGACAAGGCTCTGGGGTCTCTACCTGTCCTTCTGAGAGCACCAGCACGACTGGATTAGAGCCTCACCCTTCTGACCCCATTGAACCCCCTAACAAGCACTATCTCCACATATAGTTACCCAGGGGGTTAGGATTTTAACCTATGACTTGTGGGGGACACAAACATTGGGTCCATAACAGCCATGGAACCAAAGGCAGGAGAGGCAGAGCTGCTCATTCAAGATCACCGAGTGTGCAGTCAGTTGGCGACGGGCAGGCCAGAACCTGAAGAGACCATAGTTAGGGCAGAAACCGGGACGCGGGTGAGCTTGCAGAGGAGGAACCTGACCTGGAAGGATTCTGATCCTGGAGAAAATCCCCCCCCCCTTTCTTTCCTCCCCTCTGTGCTCCAGGAGCTCATCACCTGCACATGGCCAGTCACTTGAGTGCCCCTCGCAGCGCTCTCACTGACGCTCAGAGGGTCCATGCTGGCTTTTCGCACTGGAAACCAGCACGCCAACTAACAGCAATTCCCAGCAATTCTTTACTCATCTGTGTACATCCAACAGCTGTGAAGAGTGCTTGTTTTATTTATTTGATTGCATGAGGAGAAACTAGAGTTTTTTCATTTATTTTAATTAGTTTTTTCTCTTGTGCATTAAAATGCTGTATTCTTCCAGGGGAGATGTAATTGAAAATGTACATAAACAAACTAAAGTTTTGATTTAAATGCCACCATTAAGGTTTTCTTCTATCTACTACGCATAGCTGTGTTGTTTTTTTAAACACAGTATCATCAATATAATAAAATAAAGGTGCAGGGCCGGTGTGCTTTGGGGCCCTTTGGCCTGAAAGGTGCCTTGTCTTATTACTTTTGCTCCTGAGGCCCAGGCTTTGAAGAGAACAAAGTAGATCTGGAGTTTCTCTTCCTTCCCCAGAGTCATTATTATCCGAGGAGCAAAGAAAATCAAGCAGAATATTGCTTCACCACAGCACTTCTCAATCTTTCATGCTTGTTTCATCTTGTGGCCTTGGTGGCAACATTCCAGGCCGTGGGGAAAACGGGCTCTTACACAGGCTGCGTAAGTAAAGAGTAACTTATTAATACTAACACAGAGGAGTACATAGGACGGAAAAGAAATCAACAGAAGGAAGGAGCCCTTTAGGCGTGCTCGCAACAATCAAGTTATTATTCCCTTCAGGGCCTCCCAGGAAACATCTCTCTCAGGCGCTTGTCTCTGAAATTCCCCACCGACTACTGCTTCTTCTCACTGTCCCAGTTTATTCCCCCGCAAAGCAGTCTGTCTCTGCTCAGTCACAACAGAAGATTAGAGTCGGAAGCATCTGAGATTTGTCATTTAATGAACTCACCTCAGATATAACTGCGCCCTGAAGAGGATCACCTTTGAACCTGGTTCCGCTTTTCAGGCTTGCAATTCCAATTCAGTACTACAATGCCTGTCAGGTGACTTGTTTTTGGTCAATCACCAAGGAGGAAGAATTAGCCTGGCAATTTTTTCCCCCAGATATTGGACAATTACCCTTTTCACATTTTTTTAAATTTTTATTTGAATACATTTTAAGTGGAAATCTCTCTAAAGTGCATAACAAGTTTTCATGACTCTACCGAAAGGGTCAACAAACAAAGCCTAATTTAATTTGTTACTAATCTTGGGATTGTTACTAAGACTTTTTTTTTTTTTTTTTTTTTCAAAAAGAGA